ACAGAAAACCATGTAACTTAGATCAATTCCACTTCAAGCTTTTTGAATGTCTGTACCTAGCCAACTAGACAGACTCTGTCTATAGAGGCTTATGACAAGATTACAAATATAAACCAATTCATCATACCAACCTGACAGTGCCATCAGAGGATGCAGTAAGGAGGTACTTATTATCTTTGGACCAACAAAGATCATATACAATGTTAAGGTGTCCATATAATTCTCTCAAGTATTGTCCAGAAGGAATCTCATACACTAATTAAAATGTAAATAAAAAAGTTAACATTTTGATAATATTTTAATTCAGACATTCAATAATAAAGCCTCAATTCTCAAAGCACAACCACATAACTTCAAGATTGCGTATATAAAGTCTTATATAACTGCATGTTCCTATACAAATTAGAATCTTCAAATATGGATGATTTCCATTTCATTGACACTTGTGACAATTACTACAAAGCTAGTTCTGTTCCTAGGGATACATCATTACTGGCATAAGTGAATTCAATTCCACTGGCTCCTAATTTTCAGCAAATAAGATTAAATAGCTACTGGTTTTACAAAGTTAATAAATTTAATGCAAGTCTGCAAGCATCTACTTCCATCTAGTGGTTCAGAGATATGTCACAAGTGCATTAACCCTTCAATTTTTAATGTATTAGGAAACAGCTTAAGTCTTTAGTGATTAACTGTTATATAAAGGATTTTCATTTTTTAAAATTCAGTTACCACATCTGCAGCTACAGAAGACCACTAACATCCAGGTAAGTTTTTTTGGTGGCTGTCACATTTTGTAGAGAAGCAACGGAACTAAACTTCAGAGTTACTGTTCTTATATTTTAGGGTTGTTGGTTGCAGCTGTGTTGGTCAAAGAACATAGACAGACAAGGTACTTGGAGGTAGATGTGATATCTCTTATTAGGCCAACTAAACAGTTGGAAAAATTTGGGGCACAAACACCCTTCCTCAGACTCTCCCTATGCCTGAAGAAGGGTGTTCTTATATTTGCATTTAAAGGTTTAACCTTTTGTTCCATGCACAAATAATATCTTTTTCTTTGCAAATCAAATCTCATAACATACAGCACAACAGACAACCATTGTGCAGAAATGACCCAGCATCTAATGAACACAGACTCTTGTTAGTCAACACTGAGATTTCTGAGAGGAAGACAGCCTGGCACTTCCATCGTTATGCCTGGCACAAGACATGCAAACTAATTCAGATGCTTTTGTCAGAAAAAGTTGTTTAAGATATGGATTAATTATTCGACTTAAAATGTTGATTCCTGGTAGACCCCAAACTTCTAAATTTCCATGAGATTGTTGGAGGTATAGAAATAATCTGATGAAGTGAGCTCTGGCTCACAGAAGCTTATGCATCTCTGACTTAGTTAGTTGATAAGGTTCATCTCTACGTTGCCTTCTGTCTGTCTTTAAAATTAGATATATATATTACCAAATATCATATTTTCTCATGTACAAATACACTCCCGATTATAATATGCACCTAGCTTTTGAAAGACAGAATAAAGAAAAAAAAGATTTTATCAGAAGGCTGAACAGAGGAGCAACAAAGCAATCTTCAGATGACTCAATCTTCCTTTTCTACATAACTAAAGATGAACCCCTAGCTGTTGCTGAAGACTGGTCTTCAGGGATGGACATGTGATTTTGAAAAAGAGCTGAAAAGTTTATGCTACAGGGCTAAAAAAAAATCTAAGCTAAAGAGCTAAAGAATTTGTGAAATAAACAAGCAGCAGCTAGCAGACAGCAACATTGCCCTAAGGAAGGTTAGCTTGACTGATGAAAAAATCAAGACCATTAAAAAGGAAAGATGATCGTTAACATCTATAAAGAACAAGGAGCTATTAAAGGTGTAAAGTAATGTCACTCTTATGGCAGAAAATGTTTTAATGCAGAATGAAGTGCTAGCATACAGAACTATCGTGCCGCTTGTCGTGAGACAAATCCCCAGAAGCATTTGTGTAATAAGACCTATTAACAGTTTGTACCGCCTTATCATAACAAGCATTTAAATGAATGTCCCACAATGTTTTCATGGGGTTGGTGGACCAGTCAGTCCTGCAGGCATCTTGCAGTGTACCACTTCAGCCCCAAGTTGGACCCCTCTTGTATTCTATCCAGCCACTCTGGCCCATACCACAGAACTCTATCGCCAACAGGTGTCAGATTTCCACTTACTAATTGCCCTGCACAGCAATTTGCCAGCCATTGTGTGCTCACCACCCACCCAAGACCAGCACTGGATTCTGCATTCTCTGAACACCAACAATTGCCACAAACCTCCAGGACCCATCAGACTCATACAGGACTCCCATTCCCTCATACACCCATCCACCCTTCCTCTACCATGGCCCCTCAGTCTGACGAGTCCAGTCTCTGGAACAAGCCTGGCAGAAAGTGGGCCAAGGAAGCTGTAGTTGATCTATCACTATCTAGGGTAAAAGCAAGAATCAGCGGGCACTCCCATTAAGCCACCAAAACAAGAGGGTGTATCAGTGGATCACCATGGAAATAGGAGCCCAGATCATGACCATAACTGGACCAAGTGCAAGGTATGGAGACAGCAGTTCATAAAGACACGGGACAGCAACTGTGTGTTAGGCTCATGCACGGTCACATGTGCCCACAGTGAGGAACAATCCCACATCTTTGTAGCCAGAAACATGGTCCAGTCTGAAAACACGGTGGGCACAGCAGCCTACATCACCATCTAGGAGTGCAACAAAGGCTCCATTGTGACTATTCGAAGACATGCAGCTCTCCCAGGTCAGCACAGCAACCCAGGTGATAAGCGAAATTGGGGACTCCCAGTCTATCCTGCCAAGACTGGCCTCCCACCAGAGCTGAGCAGACTCTGAAGTGGACAACGGCCTGGAATTTCCTGCTGTTGTCCTCCCCGTTCAGCATCCCAGTCAGCTGTCTCCCAGTACAGACCTAATGGCCCAGAAGACCCAGCCTACAATCAGGATGGATCCTGGGGGGGTGATAAATAGTGGGCCACTGTTACAGATGGGATGGGATGATGTGCTGTTTGGGGAACTGCAATTTAGGGCTGCACTGAAATCGCTTGGGGAGCACTCTACCATGGTCTACTCTCCCCATCCCAGGTAAGAGCATGAAGTGTTAAAAGGCCCTACCACAAGGGAAGAGGGTGATTAGTAGAATAGACATTGTTTTTGGGGAGGTGTCTTTAGTATTTATGGTGAGGTCTTTAAACATC